GCCATTTATCGATCAATTCTTCATCCCCCTGCGTGGCGCACCCATTCGCCCCCCGCCCCCCCCCCCCCCCCCTAACAAAATGACCTGGCGCCACCCCTGCGACAGCTAATATAATGTACTTACTTACTGCAGCCCGGCGAATCTTCTCTGCTTCTGGCAGTTCTGCCTTCTTGCAGGGCAGAGCTGAGTTGATGTGCTTGTATGACATGCCAAGGCAGCACCTGGCTAGGCCTAGGCTTGGCCGATGCTCAGGCGACGATGAACACGAGTCGTGAACGCCGAGGCCGAGTCAAGTCCGACCGATCCGACTCAGCTCCGAGTGAAACAACTGCAGCTCCAGGTTTTTTTTGCCACAACCAATAACATACAAAGATGCAGATTACGGAGATAGACCTGATTTATTTATTGAGTTTATATCCAACTTCTGAAGTACAGTAAGGTACGTTAACGCGAAAAGTGACTGGTTTGTATAATATTTTTTTCCCTAATTTAAATCGAAACAAGTTTCTGAAAATATAAAGAAAAATTGCTAGGGATCAGTACAAAATTAAGTGCGATGTGTTGCCGAAGTAATAACCGTTAGCGGTTATCAGAAGGAAGAAAAAGAAGAAGAAGAGGAAGACAACTGGGTGACTCTGGGTATTTGTGCTAATGCATTATTTCGTATACAAAATTTCATTGTATTTTTAAATTCTCTCCTCTAAATTAAGTCTTTCTCTACTGCTACTGTTTTTCATCTACATTACTTATTTTTTTCAGGGACCTATATTATACAAGTTTTAATAGGTTCCTCACATTCTAGTTAATCTATCATATGAATTGAGAATCATTGATATGCGCTCATTTATACTACAATTATATTTTATATTTTTTTATTTTATATGTATGTTTATATTTTCTGTAAAATGTGGAACAAATAAAACTTGAAATTTGAATAATAAGAAGAAACGAAGAAGAAGAAGAAGAAGAAATAATATAAACAGAACTTGAGAAGAAAAATTATATGAATAATTGGAAGAAGAAGAAGAAGAAAAGGAAGAAATATAGCCTACAGGCCTAAGAAGAATAATTTGAGAAAATCTATTTTAAAGAATAATCGGAAGAAGAAGAAAACGAAACAGAAGAAGAAGGAGATGAAAAAGAAAATGAAGAAGGAGAAGATCGAAGGAGAAGAAGAAGAAAAGAATGAGAATAATCGCTCTCCCTCTCTCCTTCATCATTCTTGAATATTTCCCTGTACTACACTGTCGCTCATAATAATATATTTTTTTACCCCAATTTATGGAATTATTTTGACAATGATTTATTCCTAATAAATCTAAATAATAGTAAACATTCTCAGATTTTATTGAATAATAATTTGCCAGTGTTGTTTTGCGTGACTGCTAAAGCATGTGTGTGCTAATATGCTTATCAAATAGGGGACCTACGCCCTTAAGTCATAAATGACAGTAATGAGGATTAATGCCCCACAAAGGGGCACTATCGACACCGTTTTGATCCTGGGGCCTCACAGTTACGAGGCCGTTGCTGTGCCACTGAACCATAACTGTACGCAGCGGTGGCTAGGGTAGCGGGGGCAGTTCCCACAAATAAAAAAATGAAAAATAAAATGCAATAAATTATCAATAATTCAAGTTGCATTTTACCCCGGTCCCTAACATAAAATAATCCTCTGTACGGCCATGCATTATGGCTCAAGGCATGGGCACACAGAATAGGAAGGTATTTGAATACCATTTTTAATGAATAAATTAATTCTATCGCATTGTTTAGAAAAACTGGCATTATTGATCCATATCTTTTTCTATATACTAGATACGTTCCTATTTAAACAATTTAAAATCACGGTATATATACTGACGGTTGTAGGTAGTAGGAAAGGAAAATGTAAAAAGATAAAGCAAAGAAGAAGAAAAAAAGGAATGACAGAAAGAAAGGGCTTTGAAGTTCTTTAATTATGCAATTATAGCTAGTATACTCAAAAATTGAATATTTTCCGGCTCGATCGTGATTTACTCACCGGGTAAGTTGGGCAGCATAATTATGTTATCATTAATAATTGTGGACCATATTAAATCCCCTTTTTTATTACATAGTGTTATACTCTTGTAAAAAGTCAAAACGAAATTTTCACTTCATGATAGGATTTACTGCACTACTTATAGCTACAAAAATGTACTTGCGCCCTCTATACAGCCAACAATGCCTAAGCGCCCGTTGATCCCCCATGATCCCCTTTTCTTATGTTAATTGAGAGCTGATTTGATGAGATAACCACATGTCAGTGACCTTGCAGGGAGGTCTAATCCCTCCATGTCAAAGTAGGATCATACCTTTCAAATGGTGTCAGTCATTCAGTATTTAGTTAAAATGTAATACGATAGTTTTAAAAGCCCTCAAAGTATAATACACATTTTGTCCAATTCTAAATAGTGCAGATGGGCGTTAAAGTTTGGGATGCTGTAGTTCATTTATGCAACCAAGCTGGATTCTTGAGAAATTTAAATGATATATTAATAATGTTATAATTTTTGTTCGCTGTAATTTTTATATCATTCGATGTAATCTATGTTAAGCTGGTTTATACTCAAGAATAAATTATAATTATATGTCATGCGTATACGTGTACGCATTTTGTTTACCGCCATTTTGTTTTATTTACCGCCATTTAAAATAAATGTGCAATTCAGCCACTGGCTGCGTTTGCGAGACATGTTTGAATAAAACCTTTATTGAATTGAATTGAAATGCTCCCTCATTGATACAATTCTCTTCGAGATCTATAATCGGAGAAATGGCCTCCATTCAATGAAAAACATTATGTCAAAGATTAATGTAAAAAGAACTAAATGTACAGTGATTTTGTTTTACTATACGAGACTTAAAAAGGCAATGCAACAGTATGGTTCAGTATACGTAAAAGTGAGTGGTTAAACCGTGACATAATTATAAGCAGGCGCGTAGCCACTGGTGGGGGCGGTCGCCCCCGCAAAAAGACCGGCAAAAGGAGAGAGAGAGAGAGAGAGAGAGAGAGAGAGAGAGAGAGAAAGAGAGAGAGAGAGAGAGGAGAAAAAAGGAAGGAAAAGGAAGGAAAAGGAAGAAAAAAGGAGCAGACAAAGAAATTAAAGATAAACTCCAGTACTGGTAAAAAAAAAAAATTAATTCTCACAGAATCAAACGAAACTTACACTGAATGTTCAAGATTACAAATAAATGACATGTGCCAAACAATTTTGGAAGAAAATGTATACTGGCTGAGTAATGAGCATAGAAAGACAAGGAAATCAAGGTAGTACTAGCGCTTGTTGTCTGAGCTTTCTATGTCGGAGTGCGTGTTACTTTACCAAGACTCGGTCAAATTTATTATGATTTTGATGACTCCAGAACTTTGCAGTGCACACCAATACTTATATGCTACATGATCAACTGTTTCTGATCCTTTCCACACCTTTTCTTTCACAATGCAATCGCATTACCAGTACTAAAGTTTATCTTTAAGAGTCGAGAACGTTACAACGAATCGTCTTCTTTCTCGAATTAGTAAATGGAACGTCAAAGCTTCTGCGCTTGTTGTTTATATTGGGAAAATAAACGTAACATCAAACTCAGATTGGTCAAAACCGTCATAGAGCCTTATTATGTATTTTGGCACAACCTTGTGCAAAATTTAGAGAACATAAATTATGTATTATTTATTACTAGTAAAAGGAAACTGTTTAAATGCTTTTAACTAGATTTGTGTGATCTAACCTTCTCATGCGTGCGGAAAATAAACATTACGTTGCATAAATCATTTTTATTACCACTTTTCATGAAATGATTCTGAAAATAAAGGTTTATTATTGATAGATCCATAACTTCTCAGAACTTTATCCGACCAATCTTTTTAATATTTTTAACCAAGTTTTAATATTGAGTAATATAGTTCTGAGGTTATAATAATAAACCATACGGTCACAAACTCACAATCATTTCATGAAAAGAGATTAGAACAAATATTTCAACTTTGGGGCAACAGTGCATATTGCAAGAAGTTTACAATGTGCGAACAACCAACATTAACAGTTTGCACTTACTGAGAATAGAATTGCCAGTCTAATTTATATCTGACCATCATCATTCCGAGTATACATGACCTTATTTTGGAACGCATCAAAACTTGAAACGAGATAGGCTGTATTGAAACATGTTCCCTCGCGTATTTTTGTTTCTTTCTCAAATGGGGCGCAAATTATGGGAATCCATTTCCGATGGCGTATAAGCAAGATAAGCAGAACCTTTGCAATCAAAGCCATTGTATATAGACCTACGAAATAGTTAAAGGTAAAGACCAGTATTGGAAACGCCCCAATTTCAAAAAATGAAATGGAAGCTTTCATTACCAATCATGTGAAAGAATATGTTTTGACTAATACATGATGATAAAAAATTTGCCGGGAAACCGCCTACTAATCCATATATTTGGTAAATTTGTTTCTCTCATGGTCTGTGAGAGATATAGGATAGTCCCATATACATCTTTCTGTGTATAGTGCTTGTAACTTGAATGGGCCAAATTTCTTATCATTTTGATGATTCCAGAACCTTGCAGATGCTAGATGCTAGATGATCAACCTTTTTTGATCGATTCCACAACGTTTCTTTCACAATGCAATCGCATGACCATAACTGGTCTTTACCTTTAACTAATATTTCTGAAAATAGGTCCCAGTAAAATAACAACTAAAACTAAAACTAATAAAGAAAAGAAAAAAATAATATAGTCGTCTGTTGTTGATTACCCCCTGTATAATCTTGCGGCGACGCCCCTAACAAAAGTACGTATTTGGGCTCATTTTATACCGTCATGGTATAGAACATAAGTTCGGTATGAATGTCATTATTACAATTTGACTTTTGATTCTGATCGTTGCTAAATGACAATTGCCAAATTGGGGATGAAAAACAGTCGTCGGCTTCAGTTTCGACTGATATGGAAAATTGAATTTGCGCATGCGCTTTTCATTTTCATTTGAATCGCAATCGAGAGTGTCGAACGACCTTTCACCGACCACGACTTCTTTCTCTTTTGCTGTGAAAATTCTCTTGATATATTTCATCTTACTACAGTTTGAGTAAATATAATCACCATGAGTGAAGGAAATTCTTTGGGAGTTGGAATGAACATCGACATTCAGAGGAGTGATGGTAAACAATCGTATTTTTTGCATGGTTACCTAAGTGAGTTTGCTGGGAGTGCAGTGCAGTGCTGAGTGTGAGAGAGTTACAATACGTTAGACAGGTACGCAACCCAGCCCAGCCCTGACTCATACCGGTGCGTGTTCACACATCTTGCCGCTTTCCGTTGCGAGGCGCGAGGCCGGGCCGCTCCGAGGCTACGCTACGGGTGCAGTAACTGCGTCGGAGCTCTAGAGCCTACACATAAGAAAACGATTCAAACAGCGGGTTGGGGCACATTTTTTTCGAATTGTACTCAAGAAGAAGTAATTACAATTTTGACTTTAAGTGTTTTTCGTCTCCTTTGAATGGATGCCCAGACTAAACAGAGCCCACTCTGGGCATCCGTTCAACCACTTGAAATTACAATTTGAAGAAGTCTTTGATGGGGAAAAAAGGGTGATTCCTCGTCCTAACTCAATTCATCCTGTATTGTACATATCGTCTATTCAACACGGCAAAGAGATTAGTATGCATGTGCACTATGTGCTGCACTGCTACCGCGCATGCGTACTTTCTCTTTGCCATGTTGATGAAGGCATTACTAGCTGTAGGGTGTCTGATCGCGCACCCGATGTTGTGTGCTAAAATTCTTCCCATAGAGATTACACGCATCCCTATGCAGTCTACGTGCATTGCGCGACCATGCAAAAAAAGTCTTTTTTTTTTTTTCAAAATCGAGATTCAAACCTTTATCTGTTGTGATCCTGAAGGTGATAATCAATAAATGAGGTGTCATATGAAAGAGCAGGTAAATTCCAATATTTCTAAAGGGGCGTAGCCCCCGAAATTCTAAAAATATCTTGGTCAAAACAGCAATTGAAACATTGTGTCCTGGCTAACTCTGAGGTTTGTCACTTTTGAGATATGACGCCCCGATCGATAAGTAGTCCCAGTCCTAAGGAACAATTCTATGTGCTTATATTTTCGCTAGCCCCCAGGGATCACAACTGATAACAGTTTAAAAATACCCTTCTCGCTATTTGGTGGATCAGCTAATTAGGGGGCGTGCGCTCCGCTCAGTCCAAACCATGGTTACATCGCGTAACATCTCCGCGCACGAACGAAACCCCAAATTCAAGTATGGGTGGCCATTCGCGGCATAGAACCCGGAAGTGAATACACGTTATAGTCAATGGCAATATCACGGAGACATCTCCGCGATATTGCCATTGACTATAACGTGTATTCACTTCCGGGTTTATTGTGCGACGAACGCCAACCATACTAGTCAATGGCACATGTCGCGGAGACAGCGTAGCTCAAGCTGCAAGTCGCGGATTGGCTTAGCAGCATGCGTACGATATGCATACGCTTGCATATCGCGCGATACAGCTGTTTGGCTAAATTTAGCAAAACAACATCACTCTGCGTAGACGTCTTTTTCGTCGATTTTGACCAAAATGATATGAATATACCAGCGTTTTGGAGGGGCTGTAACTTTTGATAGAAACATCGGTGAGACTTGAAATTTTAAATGTATTATTCTGATAACATCTTTTATTCAAATATCAAACAAAAATGGTGAAAAACGATCCCAAATTGAAAATTGAAAAATCGTTCAGACACCCTACTAGCTGTGCTGCCATTACGGCGCTCTAGCATTTCAAATTCAAAGAATTAATTCCTGCCAGGTACCTATTTAGTAAATTTACATCACCTGGGTTGAGTGTGGCAAATGAAGGTCAATGTCTTGGCCAAGGATATTAGTGCCATGGCGGACTCGAACCGCAGACCTTGTGATCGACAGTCCAGTGACGTAACCACTCTACCACGACACCTCTATTATTGTTTCACAATAGATTAGATTTCACTTTGGTTTGGATGTTATTTGGGAAGACCAAGATGACAGTTGTTTACAATAGTCAAGTCAAACTTTTAATAGTCTGGTATCCGACCGTCCATGGCACTATCCGTTTTCAATTGGACGGTTTCGTTTTCCCGTTTAAAAAAAAAATGTAAGAATTTTTTTTATAGGAAAATCAAAAGAAATCACATTTTCAATAAATAGTGTACATAATTAGAAACAAAATCACTAAACAAAAACAAGTTTGGGCGACATTATAGTCATCATAAGTCAGCCCTGACTGTTGAGTGTTGAATTGCAGAGCAACAATCTACATGATAACAATCAATTGCAAGATTGTACATGTGGATTGAGAAGTTGACTCGTAAAACTAAGTTCCCAGCCTTGAAATACATGCACAATACAAAACTGATGCCATTTAAATCCCAAATCCTGACCTCTGCAAGCTATAAACATGAATACACGTGCGTACTAGATTCATTACACTGTAGCTTCATAAACAAAGTGAAACCTAGTCATTGTTCCAAAGTATGCCCGACAGTAAAGTCTCTGTTTTTGTTCAGTGATTTTGTTTCTAATTATGTACATTATTTGTTAATAATGTGATTTCTTTTGATTTTCCAATTAAAAGACAAATTAAAAAAAATAAAAGTATTAAAGGTGAATTCAAAGAAAATCACAAATATGTCAACTAATGTATCACTAGAAACTGGTAAGCTAAAAGATGGCAATCGTACAAGTTATAGGTCAACTACATATCGGGTGATTTATAAAAATACAAATACAACCACCTCCATAGCAGCTGGGATATATGAGAGATTCGCCGGAAAAATAACGATGTTTTAATGACGTCAGTGCTATATGGACCAACACTGCCCAAGCAGACGACATTCCATAGAGAATGAACATAATTGCAAAGCTATTATTTCTCAAATTATAATGAGTTTACTGTATATAAATGTAATGGCATGTCAAACCATTCAAAAGGGGATATGACCCGATTCTGATAACTAAAATATTTTGCTTGTAAATACACAGGATAGGGGTTACATGTAATTAACAATCAAAGAAACCAGACTTTCAAATTGAAAATAACCCCGGAATGATATTAAGGACAGAATTTGTTCCCTCTTGAAACGCCAAACATACCCCGGTGTGTGCAGCTGAATATACAATGGCGTCTTATTTTGTTTACAAGCGACAGATTCCTTTATTTTTGTATCGCTGCATTTGTCATCAAAATAAAAACATGCGCGGGTTTTAGAGTGAGGCAATAGATTATACATTTAGCCTGACGGTAGTGAAGTAAGAGAAAGAACTCAAGAGAAGATGAAAACACAGGCACTGAAAATGTGTGAGATGTCATGGGACATCGTCTGCTTGTGCAAATCATGTCCATACTGTGATCTCACACATCTAAGCAGCGTTCTGAGAGCTCTTCAGGTGCTATGCCGGGGCTGTATTTAAGCGTTTTGTAATTAATAATAATCATTACCTCAAATGTTTCCAAGCATTAAATTTTGATAACCTTGTTGAATCAAAGTTTCAACTTTGCAATAATGAAAATAAAGTTAGTTTTTAAAATCAATGAAAACCGTCCGGTTTTGACTGGCGATTAAACGGAATTGGAGATATCCATGATGTTACAACTTTGGTTTACAATGCCATTGTTTGCTTTCATTACAGTTCAGGCTGAAAAATCACTTACCAAAAAAATCAAAACCCTCATTTTTTTTAGCACCCATATAAATGATTTTACCAAATGCAAATAAGTTTGTTTTTTGAAAATGGTAGTATAATACTGTAAAAGTAGAAATATTGGTGACCAGTATATTCATTTTTGCTGATCTCGCGCTAAGATCAGCAAGCGCTAAGATCGGCAAGCGCAGAATTTAGAACTCGCGAAAATATAAGCATGAATTCTTATGCAAGTTTTGAAAGGGCTAAATTGTATGCAATGCGAACCAGTGAAGAACTAGCGAACATATTTTGGGGTTGCTCAGCCCAAAAATTAATCATGCGAAAATAACAGCATTTACAATTACAGTGTCTGAAAGATTCTTTTACTAATATGATACTTCAATAATGTCAATTGTAGAAATACGTGATGTTCCTTGTACTAGAAGGTTTATTTAAAAAATCAAAATGACTTAAAAAGGATTAAAAAGGATTAGTAACTTTGAAACAAATTTTTAATTAAAAAGAAAAAGAAATTCTCTTTCACCCTGCATTTGACAAAATACATTATGACAGTAGATCTCTTTACTGACTCTAGTTGTGAAAATAATTCCAGTGAAGTTTCCATGTACATGTACACTGTACATTGTAGTTTGTACACACATTTACATATTGCACTTTTGGAGTGATTGTAAGTAATGCTATGGTCACATTACCCAAAAGTAGCGCGGAGTTAAAATTTGGGCGGTGCCTGCTCACTTTTCACACGGTGCCTGGGCGGTCGCCGCCGGGACACCGACCTAATCGCTGGGCAATGCCTAATTCCAGCAGCGACCGAGCAGGCTACTGATCGGTCGGTCGCTGCTCTGATTTGTGACCATAGCTTGAGGCCATTAAAAAAAAAAAAAACCGTATTTGCCGGCGTAAAGGCCTCAGTATTTTTGGAAGAGAAAATATCAAAAAGTCGGGGTGCGGCCTATGCGGCGAAAGAGTAAAAAAAAATTTAAAAAGAAAGTCAAAACCAGCACGAATTTGCTCATATGGGACTAGATCCATGATCGGTACAATAACTATACATTTCTACACATTTTACCGACAATTTTATCTTGCATTGTTAACATGAAGACGAAAATAAACTTCCAAAAACAACATCTGCCGATAGATCTTGATCTAAGTTCGTGCCAATGCATTGCAAAAGTAAAAGAAGGGCACGTTTAACGGAGCTGCCGCGAAGCATCCAGTACGCGTAGTCGCTATTTTGAATCCATTTCAATACACAAGAGAGGGGCGCAATGTATAGATCACAGAAAACTACATAGGCTAACATCAGTGCGGGATGGCCAAGCGGTCTAAGGCGGTGATTTTAGTCACATCAACATTTGCAACATTTGCAAGAGATCAAATCCCGACTTCGACAAAAGTTTTTTTTTTTTTTTTTTAATTTTTAATTTTTATGTCAAAATCGGGGGTGCGGCCTATACGGCAC